GTGTGTGTGTGTGTGTGTGTGTGTGTGTGTGTGTGTGTGTGTGTGTGTATCGAGTGATTCGATTAAATAAGTCTTGACCATTTAATTCTCTCGAGAGTCTGGAAATTTTTCGAAAAAATCCACCCATATTAATCATTTCCTCGAAACGTCGAAGTGTGATGTGAGAGACATTTTCGCACTTCATCACTCGATACATCATATATAACGTGCTCAATGTCTGCTTCATTGACCGTTAATAGCAAATTTCTCGTGAAATTCAGTATCAACGCTCGCTCAGTGAATATGAAAAGTCACTCAAAAAAATGGTCTTGCAATCACAGCGAAAATTATTTAGATACAAGAAATTAGCTAAGATGGATAAGTGACTAGCAAACAAACATTGTGATATATTTTGTATTTAATCAATATAGATGACACAGACGGAATATATATATATATATATATATATATATATATATATATATATATATATATTTATATGTATGTATATGTATATGAGCTATTTGTAAAATTTAGCAAGAAAATCTCTATTGGTAATTGGTAAAGAACTTAAATTTCTCTACAGATATCGCTAAAATACTGCTATAAAATTTACTGCTGTAAATTCTACATGCAAATTATACAGATAATTTTCCAGCAGATACTAAAAATAGCGACAAATTTTAACTGTGACATTTACATTTTTTACCTGTGCCAGCAAAACACTTCTTTGAATGTATGATTACATTAAGATAAAAATATCTAAAAAATAGTAATTATTTATTTGATGGATACCAATAACGTATTTGTTTAAATATAAATTCCTTTATTTAAATAGAACAAACAATTGCTTTCATGAAAAGCCAAGGTTCCCTCAAGGTTTTAAGAAAATATATATTTCCTTATTTTTGAAAAATATTTCATACTAGTACAAATATGTTATTAGTATCTATTGAATAAATATTTACTATTTCTTAGATATTTTTTCTCTCAATGCAGTTGCAAAGTTTTTACTTATAACGGAAAATGGAACCCCTCGCCGTCTGTTTGCAACCTGTAAGCTCGATTCACCAAAAGTCAACGTCTAATGCGATGTGTTTTCTCGATCAAAGAAAAATCAATTCCAAACTCATCGGAAAATCCATCCTTAAAGGTTGACGTGATGGAAACTGGATCAGCTGTGTCTGTGTCTGCTGTGTGAATGTGTGTGTGTGTGTGTGTGTGTGTGTGTGTGTGTGTGTGTGTGTGTGTGTGTGTGTGTG